GATCATGAAAAAACATGTGGAGTGGAAAATTCTGCATGTGATACAAGCAGGATAACTTCCTCTATCAACCAGACGAGCAAGTTCCAAAGAAAAAGACCAACTGCTACAAGGAAGATACTCTTAATCTTGCAACCAGATTGACCCAGTGAGATCAGCTACAGTTGAACAAAGAGAAGGAGAGCAAATACATATGCATTTCATAGATGATGCTTTGGGAGAGAAAGGGTAGCCATAAGCTCATCCCACAGTTCTTATCTACTTGAAGATCTCATTATTTTTGATTTTGCTATTTGAATTCATGATTTGCTATTTTGTTGTTTGATGTCAGAACAGAACCCAGCAAATAATGAGGTTACATTTGCAATGTAAAATCATCTTAGTATTATTTTTATCTGTTAGTTTTATAAATGTAAATGAGATGTTTAGTTTCATGTTCAAATTGGGGTGATGGTGATAAAGAAAAATAAATTTCATGAGTTTGGTTGCTGATTTTAATTATGAGGAACTTCAAGTGCATTATTTGTATGCCTTCACAGTTTAGAGTAATTTCAACTGTGCATGATATCTCTATTGTTTATTGTCCATAATCCCTTGCATTACTTCGATTTTCATGGCAACTCTTGGTTAAATAGCTGTGCATATTTCTGTTGAATAGAGAGAAACCCAATATGAATTCTCAAAAAAAAAATTAGGCTCTAAAATTTTTTATCTGGTCTACAGCTGAGCTACTTTGGGCTTCACTTGATTCAGGTTATGATAGATTGTATTTTCTAGTAGGCGTGATCCCTTATTCATGGCTTCCTTACAGAGTGAGTGATTAATTTGATACTGGCCCTTAGTAGACTTTATTGCTGTCCTTTGATCTTTGACCAGAGCATTAAAAATGATCCAGGCCAGCTATATTATTAATCTTTACTGTTCTCAGGTCTTTAACATCAAGGCTCATTTAAGATTCTCATTTTATTTTATTTGCATATTATTGTTTTGGCTTCCAATTCTCACCATTTCCCCCATTTTTTAAAGAACAAATGGATATAGGGAAAAGTTTGATAGGGTTTCTGGTGTCTTTAGTTCTGGATCTTAAATCATGAGCTGAAGACTAGTGATTTAGGCAAATGGCCAAAGAGAGAAACTTGTTTATATTTATTATTGGCCTTGCAGTGTACTTTACTACACAGTGAGTTTAAAAAAGGCACTTTGTAGGCCTTTAAAGAGAAGCTGGGTCAATTTGAAATTAAGTAGTTAAGGGCAGAAAAGACTTTAAGCACCTGATTCCTTTGAAAATTCTTTCTTTAAAGGATAGCACGGTTGGCTACTTCTCTTTACCAGCATAGGCAATTTAAAACTATTCTTGTTACAAGTAGACTATTGGTGTAATCCCCAGTGTCTGATCTGTAAAAGTTATTCCGATGTTATTACTGCTCAATGGAATAAATCTGCCAGCTTTTTCACGTTAGTTGCTGCACCTCTGACTGCCAATTCCATTCAAGGAAAAAAAAGTTTCTTAAGAGTTGAGCTTAATTCACATAGAGCAGGGGTGTCAAACTCAATTTCATTGAGGGCTGCATCAGCATTGCAGTTGCCCTCGGGGGTGGGTGGGTGGGGGTGGCCTACTGGGTGGGCGTGGATGGAGTAGGTGTGGCCTACTGGGAGGGCATGGCCAGCTCTACATCGTTCGCGTCAAGGGTGCCTGTGGGGGCCTGGGCAGGAGTGGGACAGATCTGAGGGTCTCTGGCAGAAGGGGGTGGGACCGGGGCAAGCGCCAAGGCATGGTGCATTTCTTCATTCCTCACAAAGGGTGACACCTCCCCAGCATGCACCCAGGGAGCAGGGCTGACACAGCAGGGGCTGGTTCCTCGCTGTTTCCAGACAGCCTTGTGGAGCTAAGACTGAATGCGTTTCAGCATAGATGGCCACCATAAAATTGTACATTGGCTCCCGGCCAGCCTGGGCCAGGGCCAAGGCAGAGGGGGCCGTTCCCTCACTGTTTCCAGGATGGCTTCACGGGCCACATGAAACCACATCACGGGCCACATACGGCCCGCGGGCATTGTGTTTGACATGTCTGACACAGACAATAAACATTCCATCTGAATATTATGCTGCTGTCATTTGAGGAAATATGTATATTTAGAACTCCAGAAAATCTATTATAGCGTCTTTGGTGTAAAAAATCATGCTGTTTTATACTTTGACATCTACCATTCAGCTGGATTAGGAAAAGGCTAGATGGGGAGTGTGGGAGGAGAAGGGAGGTACACTGGATAATTACCAAAGCCAAAAAATACCAAAAAGAAGTCAACATGGGCTTCATTGATTATAGGAATGCCTGAGATTCTGTCAATCACATCAAGCTGTAGAATGTGCTCAGAAAAATGGGAATACCAGAACATCTCATTGTCCCCATGAGAAACGTATATGCAGGCCAGGAAGCCACAGTATAGATAGAATATGCACAGTTTTAAAATTGGAGGAAGAAATATCAATAATTTGTGCTATGTTAATGGCACTACCTTGCTAGCCAAAATGCAAAGAATCTGCAAGCTCTAGCAATAAAAGTAAAGGACTAAAGCGAAAAATGGGACTAAATTAAATCAGTGGTAGCAGGTGTGACAACCAGTTTTAGAATTGATAGTGGAGATATCAAAATAGTAGACTGCTTCTGTCTTTCAGAATCAATCAGGCGTAAAGGAACAAGCAGTTAAATCTGGAACAACCTGCAGCTGAACATGATTAAAATTGTAGAGATGTGAATGGATTTTAGAAGGAACCCTTCTATTGCCTCTTACTATATTCGACAGCACAGTATTAGCAGTAGTATCCTTCAAGTTTGGGGGTTCTATAATATCTCATGATTTGTAAATGGAAATCTAACACTAGAACCATCATCAAAAAGACACAACAAAGCATATTCTTCTTGGGTCAACTTAAGAAGTTCAGACTGCCCCAGGAGCTGTTGATACAGGAATTATTGAGTCTGTCATTTTTGTCCCAAAGGTGCTATTTTCACGAGACAACTGGACTTTCTTGTTTTTCTTTGAAGATGTTTCGTTTCTCATCCAAGAAGCTTCTTTAGCGCTGACTGGATGGTGGGGAATGGCAGGATTTATACTCCTTGCAGATAGCTGGTCATTTGCATTCTTTTAGCGGATCATTGAAGTCCCTGGAGGCTTATCTGTGTCGTCAGGATCCCCTGAGTAGTGCAAATGGGTGTGGAGCCTTCTTGGAACAGACCCTTCACATCCTGGACATAAACTGTTTCAACACCTCCCCTTGGGATCCCGCTGTAGGGCATTACATACCAAAACAGTTAAACATAGGGACAGTTTTTTCCCTTGTGCCATCACTCTGCTGAACACCTAATCCTCACAATACTGTCTTATGTCTAAGTATTATCACCCATGTTGTATGGGTGTGGTATTATTATCCTTCTCATCTCCTCTACTACCCCCTCTTATTGGTATCATTATTATGATTATTATTACTCTGTTGTTTTGCGTGTACACCGAGAGCTTCTGCATTGGAGACAAATTCCTTGTGTTTCTAATTACACTTGGTGAAATAAAATGTTCTGTTTTGTTCCGTTCCATTCTGTTCCAAATACATCACAGATTAGCACTTGATAGAACAGTTATAAAGGCCTTGGAAAAGATATTCAAATGTTAGGATGTATCTATACCTACAAATATCAGAATGGTGAAACCACAGTACTCCCTGTAACGCTATATGGATGAGAAAGTTGGACTTCAGTGGGTTAGGAAGAGTATTAACACTTTTAAATTTTGGTGTTAGAAAAGACTCTTGAGAATATTGTGGACAGCCAAGAAAACAAATTGATGGATCATTGAACAAATCAACCCAGGGTTCTCATTTTAGGCACAAATGACAAAGGTTAAATTAGCCTACTTTGTGTACCCATGAAGGCCCAGCTCTCTGGAGTAGGTTCTAATGAAGAGAAAAGGAACAAGAAAAAGATGACCAGCGGCAAATGTGAATGGACTCAGTTACAGTGGCAATGGGTATATCAATGGAAGACCCAAAAGATCAATTTAGGGACAGGTCATCTTGGAGAACATCTATTTATTTGGTTACTAAGAGTCAAAAAGGACTTGATGACATGTAATCAATCATCCACATAAATTCTAAAGTAGTATGCGATATGATTATATGCACTTCAATACAAATATTAAATACATGCTTATTTTGAAAACAGAAGGCACACATACAGAGTACCAGTGGGAAGAAACCCAGTCAATTAAAATACCTCAGTAAAGCTTTTCTGGAGAGGGGAACTGGGGTGGATTTTTAAAAAATTGGTAATTATTTCATTTAACCAAACAGTGATCAAGAAAATATAAGATGATTGAATAAACTGATAAACTGGCATTCTCTGAAGACAAGGAATAAGTATAGCTAACAGTTCTTCAAGTCCTAACAATCATTATCATGATATATTAAGATTTAGTCCAGGTGTGCTTTTAGAAAACACCTGCTGCATTGCTTTTAAGCAAAAATGGATTTAGTGAAAACAATAACAACAGCATGGAATAAAATATAGCAATTAAGCAGGAATAATAGTTGAATTGGAAATTGCCAAAGCTTCTGTGCATTCTCAAGGCATAGCTGAATAATCTTTCACTGATCTGCTCAAATTGCACTGGTCAGAGCCCAAGTGAAAAAACAATGGTTAAATAATAAAATGACCTTGTGGTAAACAGCGTTTAGATTTTCTTTGGAAGCTGCATATACCAAATATGAGATTAGGCTGAGTGACATCTCCCAGCCCTGTGGCTTTTAATTTGAAATAAGACTCTGCTTAACTTTTTTTTAAAAAACCAAGGAACAATATGTTGTATATAAATCTACACCCCTTCTCCTCTCTCTGTTTGGTAAATGGAAATGGATATTAACAGCAACTTTCTTTCATTGGGTTGTCATGGAATGAGCATAAAGGTTGTTTTAATTGTGACTTGAATAGCCTACTGTTTTCTGTTGTTTAGGTTATGCTGGCTGCTTCTTACTGGTCCCTTCTTGAACCTGCTATTGAACTAGCTGAGGACTCTGGGAAGTTTGGAGCCTTCGCCTTCCTCCCTGTAGCCATTGGCTTCACTCTGGGAGCAGCATTTGTATACCTCACTGACCTCCTCCTTCCATGGCTGGTGAGTAGCTCTCAAAATCTAGTTACCCAAGGCCAATTTGTAGTTATTTTTGGTATGTTGGGAATTACTCTTGGCCTAGCCTGAATGAAGCAGCTGGTACCAGGTAAGGTATATCTTTTTCGATCCAGCTTTCTTCTCAGAACCTTTGGCGAGTTTGGGGAAGATAAAAGATGGAGCAATGTTTTTTTTGGTGCTTTGTTCCTTTGAATGCCTCACTGTGTGTTCTAAATCACAATTATTATAGGAAGGGTCCAGCACTTGAGTTGTACCATCATGACTATGAGATGGAACCTGTTTCCCTTTCTTCTTTTTCTGTCCATTGTGAAAGAATTCGCTTGCCATTCCAGATGTAACCTTCAAATGCTGTCTTTATCTTGGAAATGTTTTCTCAGCTCCTGGATGGATGGATGGACCTTTAATTAGGCAGAGAAAGGCAGTTATTTTCAGGGATATCTTTTACAGAGCTGTAAATTGAAAGTCACAGGTAGTCCTCACTTATATCCATTCATTCAGTGACCATTCAGAGTTATGATAGGGCTGAAAAAATGGACATAAATTTTGGACAATGCAGCATCTATGTGGCCATGTGAATATTATTCAGGTACTTGGGTGCCTGGCGTGCAGTTACAATGTTCCAGGAAGCCATGATGTGATTGCCATTTGTGACCTTCCCTGCTGAGTTCCCCACAAGCAAACTCAATGGGGAAGTCACAGGTAAGATCGCAAGCCATTCCAGTAAGTCACCTCCACTTTATGTCTCACCTGTAGTACACCGCCATCCCACATACAGTTGCTGTTGGTCTCCCCAGACCTTGACTCACCTGCACTGGCCCTTCCAGATCCTCCCACAGTCTCCCCCCACAGCACTCTACACTCCTTACCTGGGACCCCTGGGCTCTTTCTGCTTAACTACCCACAGGTCTTGGGATTATGAGGGTAACTGGGTCTGGTTGGGATTGAATTGGATTGAACTGAATACTTTATTTGGCCAAGTGTGATTAGACACAGAAGGAATTTGTCTCTGTTGCAGAAGTTCTCAGTGTATATGTAAAGTAACAGAATAATCATCATAATAAAAAAGTAAAGTAAAGGAGTAAAGAAGAAAAGGATAAATAATAATACTACAGTCATACTACATGGGTAAATATAGACATTAGATTACTATTGTTAAGTAATGCATTCATGTGATGTCACGGTTTATGACTACTTCTCTTAGCAATATCAATCCAGGTCTTAATTGTAACCTGATGACTACTTGCATGTGTTGATATTGGCAGTTAATTCAGTAGATACGGGTTCATACAGAACAAATATATACAGCTGTTTAAAGGCCTATACTTTTTTTTCAACAAAAAATAATATTGTTTCAGGAAATGTACCAGGATTTCTGGGCAGATGTGCAAAAAGGATAATTCTGTACATAATACTCACATGTCTTGCTATAAGAGGACAATTTTTCTCGTATTTATAAACCACATCTGACATTTCCTTTTTTATCTAAATTTACCAAAGAAAATGTAGTTAAGTTCCTTTTCTATCTCCTTTCCTCCCTCCTCCTCTTTTTCAATCTCCCTCCTGATGAAGATCTAGTTAGCAGCTTGTTAATACTGCTTTTTCCATTAACTAAAATTGAAGTGTGGAAAAAAAATCCCTTTTAAGGTTTCTACAATGTGACTGAACTGCTAATGTCTTCTAAATTACCTAAGTAAGTCTGCAGTATTGAAGCCAAGGAGTAGGTTCAAAATGCCGAACTTCTGAGATATCCTTCTATCCCAATATTTAATGTGATACTTTATGTATTTTGTTTCATTGGGTTTCAAACATCCTAGTACAGTGTTTCTCAACCTTGACAATTTTAAGGCATGTGGACTTCAACTCCCAGAATTCCATAGCCAGCATTGCTGGCTGTGGAATTCTGGGAGTTGAAGTCCACATGCCTTAAAATTGTCAAGGTTGAGAAACACTGTCCTAGCAGATATTTGGAAGATTATGTTGGTTTATAATCACAAGTTAGAATTTCATAATTTTCATAAGTAATTCATTTCAACAAACATAACTGTAGGCAGTTAACTTAGATCTAGAGATGCTTCTTCTGTGTCTTCTCCGAACATGCAGAGGACACCCTTTAGAAGTTAAATTACCTTTCACATTGTAATACAATAAACAACCTTTTATTCAGGTTAACTACTAGGTTGCTGGTAACAAAGGAGACTTCTTGGCTTTGGTAGACTGAATTAACCACAGAATTAGACATTTCGATATGTTGTAGTTCGGCAATTTCATAGTTCAATTTCAGTTTTGATGTTCTTTGTTCCCTTTAGAATGGCTATGTTACAGTCATTTACAGAATGTTCTCTTAGTATGGAATGATTTCTCCCTTTGGTTATTCAATGCCACCAGTCTTGATGTGAGAAATACATTTCTTTATTATTTTGTACAGACATTGCCCAATTTGTTTTATGTAAAGTGCAGAAGGGCATTGCTGATGGGCATTGGGTGACTGCTCTCTGCCAGGAGTTCGATTTTGACCGGCTCAAGATTGACTCAGCCTTCCATCCTTCTGAGGTCATTAAAACGAGGACCCAGATTGTTGGGGACAATATGCTGATTCTGTAAACCGCTTAGAGAGAGCTGTAAAGCACTATGAAGCGATATATAAGTCTAAGTGCTATTGCTATTGGAAAATAAATGAATGAATGAATGTTGTCAAAGTCTGTTTAGTGAACAAGTGGTTGGTAATTGAGGACTACCTATAGTGCTTATTTACCAACTGTTTATTAGAACTGACAACTTTGTTCCTAAGTGGTGCAGTTGTTATGTGTGACATCATGAGACTGTGACAAGTTATGTCAGTTCTGGCTATAATAGTTAAGCAGTTTAGCATAGATCACAAAGAATGGCATCATGTTAGTGCTACTTGGAACTTCTTGCAGGTTGATTTTGCTTGTCAGAAGCTGACTGAATATTGCAAATGATGATTATGTGACTGCAATTATCATTAAATGCATGCTGGTTGCCAGGTACTAGCATCATTATCAGATGACTGTGGGGATGCTGCAATGTCTGCAACCTCAAGGACCACTTGTAAGTCTCATTTTTCAATGCTATCGTAAGTTTGAATGGTCACTGAACTGGAGATAGGTAAGCGAAAACTACCTATTGCTACTCCAACAACAATCTATTTGTTGTTTCTTAATTCTTTTTTCATCTACTGATTCTTCTAGCAGAGCTAGGTTCTTTATATGAATATATGACCCAGTTATCTCAGATTTGGTTGGTTTGATTATCTTCATGACCTATCTTTCTTCTTGTACCATCTCTAGGATTTCAGATTGATCTTTTGTGACTTGAAGAGATTCTCAAGATTTTCCTCAAAGCTGCATTAAAAAAAAAACTGTTAGTCTGTTCTCAGTCTCCTTTAGTACTTTCCATGTTTTGCAGTTTAAAGGAGAGATGACCAAATATGCTATTGATCACAACCTGTTTCTCACAATATACCAGATATGGTATTTGGTTATTCTTACATTTTAAATCCATTTCCCTTGAGGTCAGAATATACTTCATGTCTAAAAAACTTTCCTGATAATTTCTATTTTCCTCTTTATTTCCCCATGTTCCACTTTAAACAAAGTATCTGAACAAAATACCTTTCTTGCTGCAGAAGGGCATTATTGACTATAGTTTATATTTCTGAGGCTCTTTTTTGTTGAAGCTACATTCATCTTGGTTTCTTTTTTGTATTAAAATATAACTTGTAGTTTTCACTTCTTTTTTTCCTCAATTAGGAGGTTCAGGTTCTGTTCTTTTTCTGTCAGAAGTACAGAATTAGCCACATATCTTAAATTGTTTTCATACTACCTACCTTTAATTCCAGAAGTATTGAAGGTCCTGATGTAGTATTTAGTTCATCAAATATTTCTTCAGTACAGACACAGAAAAGGAGAGGTGAAAGGACATAATTCTAGTTAACTTTTTGATTAAAAACATTTTTGAAAAAGCTCTTTCAGTTTTAAAAGAAATTTGATCTCAATATAGATTCACTATCATTCTAATACCTTTGGCATCCATTCCAATTCCCTTCCAAGATTGTGATCAATATTTCATGTTTTATAGAATCAAAGGCTTCTGAGTAATTGACAAAGCATGAAAATGGGTCTTTTTTGTTTTTCTCAATGAAAGAAAAAGTCTTGATTATTTTTTCAGACTGAGCATTTTTCCCTAGTTAGTACTGCTATCTTTAATAAAGGCACATGAGAGCTTATCACATTGTTCTGTTTTTCTTGAATTTGTTAAGAAAAGACTTCTAATACAATTTTTGCTGCCTGACTGATAAGTCTAATGACTCTGTGTTCAGACCATTCTATAATTCCTGTTTATTTAAAAGTTGAGTGCTTAAATTCTTTTGGCAGGTGACTTGTTTCATATATCTGATTTCAGATTTTGGTTAGAATGCTTATTCCCTTTCCCTTAGGGATTTTAAGATTTCAAATGATTTTATCTATGCCTAACATCTTCCTGTTTTTTAGACTTCTGTTATTGCTTACTTTATGTGCTAGTACAGTAGTCTGTTAAAATTGTAAATTTTCACCCTGCATACATAGAATAATTTTTGCCTCTTCATGTGTTATATTTTTGCATATTAAATCCTTCAGGAAGTCACAAAGAATTCCAGAACAATATTCGGGATCTGCAAGCCTCTCAGGTTCGCTAAATCAATGTTCATGAATCCACCAATAGTAAAACATTTTATAAAAGTGTTGATAGACAAAAGCCTGCCTCAAGTTTTCCAAAAAGTACTTGGATTATTCTTTGCTTTATGGACCAGTAAATCAAAAATATGTATCACCATGTTTGGCAGAAGCTAAACATTGCATTCCATAAAAAGAACTGCATATTGGCCATCATGCATTGAAAGGATGATGTCATGGTTTGGGGTTGCTTTGCAGAATGACTTACCATCTTTGAAGGAAGCACCTGGCAGGTGGTACGCGACCTAGACA